CCCCAAAACCCCAAAACCCCAAAACCCCAAAACCCCTTAGGGACCAAAAACTGTTGAAGGCTTAAGCATTAACTATTTCTCTGGGTCTCCTGAGAAGAGTCTTCCTCTTTTGAAGGAAGGCCTGCTCTAATGCAACCTTGCGGTCGATCTCCTTCTGTTCATCAGGATGTGCAGGATACTCCTTAAAAGTCTCGATTCCTTCCTTTTTCGTTGTGAAATCGATCATCGAGCCTTGTAATTTAGTGATGTTGAAATCAGCCCATTTCTTGGTTGTGGTATACGCTTTCATTGTTCTATAAAAATTGTGATTGAGACCTCTGGATGGAGTGAAATTCTTCAAGTTCTTCCTCAATCTATAAATCGCTTTCAATTTCTTTTCATTATTCTTCTTCTCTTCCTCAGTGAGAGGGTTGAGATATTTGTAAGTGATCCGTTTGTGGTATCTCCTAATATCAGATCGCATTAATTTGTCAATTTCCCAGGTAAAGCTCTTGTTAGTGTCAATATCAAAGGTAACATTCTTAGTGTCGATATAGTCCTTATTCATCACTGAGTCAAGGATCTCATGATCAATTGTATGTGGGTTTCCTGCTAAGAAAAGGTAATTATTAGCACCATGGTACATGTCGATTCTATTTCCAAGTCTAAACCTTGTTTTCTTATGCTCAAATTTATAGAAATTTTTGATATCAATCTTCCTGGTCTTCCCACTGAACGTATCCACTAAGACATGTTTACCTTGTGGCGTGAGCCACATGTTGATACACATGTCTCTCTTCGCATGGATCATGTTCTTGTACTCACCCATGTAGATCATGTTCATCAATATTGCTGGTATAAAGAACTGTGGCTGGCACAGAGCAGCTGCAGCTGTATACTGCAGCAGTGGGTCTACGAACAGAGAGTATGCTACCAGCATATTCGCCGTACTGAGAGAAGCCAGTGTAAAGATCTTCCTCCTTGGCTTTATCGAGTCCTTGTGGTAACAAACTACAGGATAGACCATCCCGTGTACGGGATGGTCTATGAAGTGAAGTTTCTTATTAGGAATCGTAATGGCAAAAGATCTCCTGGCCAATTGAGACAGCACTTGCGATTTGTATAATAGCTTGGCCGATTTTGAAGTCAGCATTTTTAAAGGTGGATTTTAATTTATATCAATTTTTGAGAAATTTGATGGGGTTTTGGGGTTTTGGGGTTTTGGGGTTTTGGGG